AGCGGACGCCAGGGTCACTCGGGATGTTTCTTCACCGACTTATTCAGCTTCAACCCAACGCCGTACCACAATTTTCATTTGCGCCTATACGAACAAATCTGGCAAACTCCAGTATATATTCAACAAAAGAACGGAAGACAAGATATCGCACGAGGAGAAAAGTCTCTAATCCGACTGTATCGAAATATCATCTTGAGAAATACATACCCCCCCCAAAAAAAAAAAAAAAACAAAAAAAAAAACAAAGGATTCTGTATTCATTGATCAGTTCACCTGGAAATGTCTGAAGGTAGATAAGTGACAATTGGGACATCTTTCCTGCTACAACTCCCTTTTCTAATGGCAGACGAGCGGACTAGATTTTGCTTTCGGACAGCGAGAACTCTGTTTCAATTCATTTCACTCTTACTCAGGCCGGTTTTCTCCCTTATCTAGAATGTTACGAAACTAAACACGCACGTGAATGGTATTTCCTACCATCTGGCCTAGTGGCTCTTGATGCCGGAAGTTTTATTGATAAATTTTATTTCCTTTTCTCTATTTCCGGATAACCAATAGTTGTTTTGAAAGGTGCACGTCTTGATTTTACTGGTACTGTCATAAAATCTCCGCTCGCCGCCGATCCACATAAAATCATTTCACTGATTCACTTGACGTCCGGAATAGACAAGCAGAGACCCAATGTGTCAAACATGTCGGAGAATATATATTGAATTGCATTTAGCTTTTGAATTTAGCTCAATTGTAATAATGGAAGAAATTGCTTTTAATATTTTTTTACGACTCATAATTCATGGTACCTATGCACTGAAGCGATACGTAGAGAACTATATGTTTCAGTGGGATAAAAAAAAAAACTGGCAGATGAAACTGTGTTTCTTCAGAACGATACTGGAAATACCATGGATAGAGCATATTCGAAAGTTTTAAGGAAAATGGCAACAAAAAGAAAGATAATTGTAGAAACGTCGATACAATTTTAAGAAGACAGAATTATGTGGCTGTTGGCAAGATGGGCGACCCAAGAAGCAAGTGACGATTTGGAGACCTCAGAATGAAGAAATTACAGAAATCTGTGAAGTGTTTTAATAGATCACAGAAAATGTGACATAGAAATCCGAAGTGGAACATGCCTTCCAAAAATTAAGAAAAGTACGAAGATCGGCTGAAAAGTTCATAGGCTAACCCATATATTTGTATAGAATACTAGCAGACTTCGCAAAGTAAGATATATTCACTATTTGAAATATTTGAAACAAAAACAAAAAATTTTAAATGAACATTTCATTCATAAATTGGCTTGTTATAGTCAAGGAAAGTTTTACAAACAGATGCCAACATTAAAACATATTTAAGTATGCTATTGGTTTGGCATCTCGGTCCTACCATTCCACGGTGGAAACGACTAAATGTAGACATTTCTTCTACTCCAAAAGCTGCTTATCTCGCACCTCCCGTCAGTGGAACTCCCTTCCTATCATTTGCTTCCCTGATAGCTATAATCTTCAAATATTCTAATGTAATGTCAATCGATATCTTCTGATGCCGTGACCTTGATTCCTGTCCTTCTCTTTATCCTTTTCCCAAGCACTCCTCTTTACACTTACTCTCACTTTCTGTAACCCCTTGCGTGCTAGTGGCACTCCCGCCTTGTTTGTGGTGATTTGATGAAAAAAAAAATATGCAGAGAGGGCCTTGGTTACAGTTTCTGAGAGAGAGAGAGAGAGAGAGAGAGAGAGAGAGAGAGAGAGAGGTCGCATTTTGTGGTGCGATTAGCTGTCTGAACAAGGCCAGTGTTCTCAAACTCTCTGTCACGATGACTTGTGACTTAGTGCCTGCACAACCACCGACAGCTCTCAAATAGTTCTATATCTCCTATTTCGCTTACAAGGCTTGGTTCAAACCATGTTATGGTTTTGAGGCACTTTCCAAAGGTGCTGCAAGATAGGATCGCCTCTGCAAACGGATAACACCAAGACGTCATCGTCATGACAAATCGGCGACCATGGTGAGATTGGAACCCGGATCTCATGGTGGAAAAAAGCGAATGTTCTAATCACTCGGGGCCGCGCTCATTTTTTTTCCACCCAAAACAAGGAAAAAAAAAACCCATCAAGGTAGAGGATTACTGAATGAAATTGATGAACGTTTTTCTAAATTTAAAATTCTCAGCGTCTCTCGTTTGTGCGCATGCGTAATCGCATCGACGTAAAGAAGCCTAGTCCGACGAAGTCCTAAAGGACGAAACGCCTCACCCGAATTTTTTTTTTCCATTTTGTCATGCCTCTTTCCTCCAAAATAGTTCTTTATATTTATATATATAAAATATATATATATATATATATATATATATATATAAATATATATATATATATATATATATATATGTATCATCGCTACCCTTCGGTTCCTGAAATACTTTATTTTACAATTCATTAGTGGATCTAGTAGGAGGCCCGGTAGGGGAATGGATAGCGGCTAGGATTGAGGAATCGAAGAGCAGTGTTCAATTTCCTCTTCTTCCCCACCCCCAGTTATGGGTAAATAGCAGGACAGACCGGGTTCTATAGCCTTGGATGGCAAATGGCCTTTCGCAATCTACTGCGGGAAAAATCTGCCTCGTCAGTCATGTATCGAAAGATACATGATCGCCTAAGCGTGTATCCCGCATGGCATATAACTGATTGACTGAGTGGGTCTAGAGGTAGCACCACAAATGAAGTCTAAACGTACAGTCTTCAGGAATGGGAACAAAGGAAGTCGATGGCTTGGACCAAATGCCGAAATGACACGATGTCAGTGTTCTCATATCGCTTTCTTTTACTATCTTCTGAAGGAATTAGAAGTTCAACCAGAATTTATTATTGGCGGCCACAATCTTATCAACATAACATATGCAGATGACAGGGTGTTGGTAGTAGACAAAGAAAGAAAACTACACGAATTTCTAGAAGGTAATGAAAGATGACGAAAAGGACTAAACATCAGTTGCAAGAAGATAGAATTTATGGTTGCCAGAAAAAGAAACATTTAAACATGCGAGTTACAAATTGGAGATATCAAAATCATGGAAGTAAAATAATTTCGATATCTGTGAAATCTTTTAAAAGAGGACAGAAACTGCGACATCGATGTTCTAATGCGAGAAAGTTTGAGAGAAATTGGGGGAAAAATGGCGCTTATATTTAAAATCAGAGAGTTGAGATTTCTAGAGGCGATAAAAATGTATATTATGAGGATACGTAGGAAAGATAAAGGTCAGCTATAGACTTAAAGAAGGTAATCATTGTAATGAACGGGGAAGCATCCTCTCTTGCATAAAGTAGCCGTTGAGAGAACTCCCTTCTTAAGGAAGGGAGTGGGGATGATTCATTCTGGTGTACATGGCATGGTGATCCTTAGTTCGGAAGAACAGCTGGTGGTACTTATGGACACTTTGTTCGTCACAATATTTGTCATAGAAATGGCGATAGATAGCGAGTTTTGCAACGTTTCGTCTGTTGGATAGCAATTTCACCCACACGACCAAGGAGGCGCTTCTGAAATCTATCGAGACTGGTATGTGAGGACTGGGTATCTACTGCCCATATATAGTAGGGGTTTTCCGTGCATAAATTCTATCGAGCTGTTGTTATTTAGTACAAAATATTCAACCGAAAAATTTGTAGCACCAGATAAATTCTTTTCCATAGTCCTTCTCAAATGAGCCTATTAAACACTAATATTTAAGTATCTCACCGTGCCGCTACAAATTAAATGTCGTAGAAATCGTTCTTTGTTCAAGCTATACAATCAAAGTACCTCGATTTTTCTCTTCTGGGTCTTCCTAATGCTTCCCAGAGGAAGCCTTGTTGTCAATACAAAAACGAAATTAGCGAAGACATCAATTAAGTTCAACAGTTTCCGCCGTTAACAACCGTGCAATAATTACCGCCATTAGTCCGGTCTGTAATATCCACGTTTACTGGTGTTGCGCATGTCCGATCAGCGAACCGTCTGTTTATGACTAAAGTCTCTAAAATCAACATTTTTTTTTTATACAACTGCATCTTTTTTACTTTTTTGTTTTAGTATTGTTTCATGTTTTTTTTATCTGCTTTTACTTTTAATTCTTAATCACATTTTTTATCGTTTTGACTCGCATTATTTGTCGCTTGGATTCTTGTCAGCACCAACGCAAGTGACTTTTCCTTCAAGGAAGAGAATAAGAGGGAATGGCTAAAAGCAAACAAGAAAAAGAAAGGTAATGATTAAAGAGAGTGGTGCAAAAAAAAAAAAAAGGAAGAAAATAGGAAAGTGACCAGAAAGAAAAAAAAAAGAAAGAACAAATGAATCAAGGAATACGAAAGAATCGAAAGAGATATTAACAGTAGAAAATGAAACTGAGAAGGAAGTAAAGAAAGACAAGTAAAAAAAAGAAAAAAAAAAGAAAAAAAAAGAAAAGATTAAAGAAATATTAATAACCATAAATAAGAAAAAGAAGGGTAAGGTGAAAGAGAGAAATAAAAAAAGAGAAAAATAAAGAAAAAAAAACGGTAAGAGGAAATAAAAACGGTAAGAAGAATAAAAATAAAAAAAATACTTGCCGTAAGATTTCTCTGAAAAAAAAATAATTCTCGCGCGAATTTCTGAATGCCTATCGGACAATTTTCTTATTTTAGTATAATAGTTCTTGTAATGTCGTGTCCTTTCAGGAAGTAGGCGACCATAAGTCTCCACAGAGTTTCCATATTAATCGGTGAATAAGCATGAGTTCTTGGGAAGAATAATGGACTGGTTTCTCATTGCCTTCTTTACGATTTGGAATTCATAGTTTTCTTTCTCTTGAACTTGATGCCAGACACGGATAAATAGTCCAGTCTACCCTGGAATTTAACCTCGAGCTACCTAGTGCGAAATTGAATGCAAAAGAACTACCCTGAAATTTGGACTCGGCCTGGGGATTACACTTTCGGTACTGGTATCCGTTTCATGAGCCGCACATCCACCTAGAATATCAAATTAATTATCGACAGAAGAGTAATGTTTGCATTGAGTGCAATTGCACAGAAACCCTTTACAGATATACCACAGATGCAGAAGAAATTTAAACAGCTACGTAGATTCTTTCCTCAGCAAAATGAAATATACCTAATTCTCTTTCATTCTCGTTCCTACATTTCCACAAATTCCCATGCCATATATATGCTATTTTAAAATCATTTCACCCCTAAGTAAGGCGATGATGCAACTAAGACGCAAGGGCTACTAGGAGTGAAAAAAATGAAAAAAATATCTTTACAAGGAAAGAGAAATCCACTCCTAAACCGAAAAAAAACCCCAAAAAAACCATCTACTCTTGCTCCAAAGACTAGGGAGGAGTATGAACAGAACGATGGGCGAACCTATCTACTATTGAGAAAAAAATTCAGAATATAAGTGGAGATGTTAAAAGTATAGAGTTGAAGTAGACTATAGGAGCAACCGGATGCCCAGTTCTAAGCAGGGAAAAGGGATAAACCTCTACTCTTATTCAAATGAACCGAGAGAAATGTGAATCGGAAAATAGGCGAGCCTATCTACTCCTATTGAGGTACAAAAAGTAAGTAAAGTATATATATATATATATAATCGACTCTCCCGTCTAGATTCGACGTATGAGGGTCAGGCAGATCATTTTCCAGGAAACCGACAGCTCGACACCGGCACATGAGATTTGATTATAGTGGTGAAGGCCTCGTTCAGGACCATCCACACTTTTTGAAGGGACGAATACAGAGACCCGGTGCACCGAATGCCACAAGGTTCCCAAATGACCCACCGCAGGTTTTGAATTCAGAGTTGTTCTTCTCCTAGACCAGTTGCCATCCAAGGGTATAAAACCCAAGGCTATTTTACCCATAGCTGGAGGGAGAGTAAGAGGATTCATACCTTTCCCAAGGGTATTAGCACGTAAGTGAATGTAATGGATTCGACTGGAATTCGAACTCGGCTCTGCGATTCCTCAATCCTGGCAGTGTATGACTTCGCATTGTCTTGTTCACTTCTGCTGTAGCCAGGTATTGAACTCAGTTGTGATTTCAATAACTGGCTACGCAGAGTTGAACAAAATTCATGTCATTTGTTGTTCTATCTTTGGCTCTTTATCTATTTATGACATAATCAAGATGTTAACATTCCACACTACTTCTGATGGAAGGGTAGGAAGGAAATCTTCATCAATACTTGAAAGAGTGGTAACAGCTACTGTACTTGAAAAACCTGTTTTCATATTTTTAAAAGTGTTTTAAGAGAAAGATTTTATAAATTTCAGTCGCAACTAAGTGCTCGGTCAATGAATGCCAAATGTTTCCTAATAGGGAAACTGCTAATATTACCATTACAATAATTTTTGTTCTGCAATACATTCATACAAACTCGTTAAGTAGGTTATTCGCAGTTTTTCACTTCGCTTCAACTACGTCCTGTAAGTGTTAAATTCTCTAAGCTCTCTTTCCTCATTCCGTGTCATAAAAATCCAGCCGTTTATTTCTGATTGCAGGTATCCTTGTCGTTCCTATAAAAAAATTATACTCAGAAGCATGATATTTTTTCCCTTTACACTATTATACATAGTACTGTTGTCCCCATCTTCGTTGCCCTATTCACGACTTTTAGGCCGGTGTATGGAACTTGGAAATGAACAATTTCACTTTTCTTTACGATGGTCGGTCAAAAATAACACATTTTACAGATTTAATAGTAGAAACCCACAAAATATTTACTATTTACACTATTGATATTAACCCTAGAACACTAACCATGGGTATATAGAATCCCAGCGCAAATTTTCCTATTTTTAATTACAATTTTCAGTACTTGATTTTCTTACCTAAATAATATGTGTTTCAGTTCCTATTAATGTTAACTTAAAGTACAAAGTTTGAAGTGCCTGCATGTAAATGTTTTTTTTTTTTTTGATATTTTCAAAATCGGGTATGATTTACCCATGGTTAGTAATGGTGTAACTTTAATTGATGGTTAGTGTTCTAGGGTTAATTAGAATTTGCAACTAACAGCACCTCAAGAAGGTCAGATCATACAACGTCGTGAATATGGCAACAAAGATGAGGGAAACAGTTCGAACAATGTAAATAGTGTAAATAATTACAGTATCTTATCTCAGAAGTAAAGATAGATTTTTTTTTTACAGTAGAAGTAAATTTGGTTTTCATCTACTTTATTAACAGATGAAAAGCTCTAAATCTGATTATTTATAAATATTAATTCTTAAGAAAGTATAGCGGTTGAGATAAAAGGTTGGTTGAATGGAGCTTAATGAATAACCAGCGGCGTAGCAAAAGATTAGATAGAAGATGGGGAGAAGTGATAGCAAGGTTTGCTGGTAAGAGACCTATAAAAGTAAAGAGAAAAAGTGGAAATCATTAAAAAAAAGATGAAGAAAGTGAAGATCAGCAAGAAAAGGAAGGAGAAATTGAACCGATTAGGTAGAAAGAGAAGAACAAGAGAGAAGAAGGCAAGCATAACGTCAACATCAAAGAAACTAGTTCATTACCCGTCAAAATATTCTAGCAAGAGGAGCGGTTATCGTGAAGGAAGGCTTATAATGTAAAAGAGAGATATAAAACATTTTGCCTTTTTGTTCCAACCGGATCTATTGTAATGATAAAAGTACGCAGGTGTAGGCTTTAAGGAAGCTTTATTCAACTGAGAATACAAGGTTCACGCTATAGTCTCCTTTCATAGTCCCAGAAAACAGAAAATAGCTCTCTCAAAGAGGACGGTAACAAAACAAGGGGAGACCACTCTCGATTATTCATAACGCCTATCAAAACTAAAATTTAAAATTGCCTCTTTAACTTTTAAAGTAAGACAGAAATAAAATGATGTTATTAAATAAACATAAAGGAGTTGAAATGCCGTTAAAAAAAATTAAACGAGAGGAGAAAGCCTGGAAGACAAATGAAAAAAAAAACAACAAAAAAACAAAAAACAAAAAAAAAACAAAGTAATAAATAAAACAAATAAAAAAAAACAGCAACAAATAAAAGAAAAATAAATACGATGATAAAGTCAGGGAATTTCCGGTCACGAGTTTCCGGTGGATATGTTCGGCGGTTTCACTTATCACAGGCACATGTTATCAAACAGTCTAAACTCTTTATCGCTGTTTTCACTTCCAATCTATCTTTTCCCCACAAACGATTTTGTTGACAAATCTCTGCCTCTCTAAATAGCACTTAAAATTATATTTCAAATTCAATGAATTTTGTTCACATGCTAAAAAAAACTCTGCAGTATTTTTTTTTAACTGCATAATATGTTTGTGTGCGTACACTGTGATAGGCACTTTTACGTAATATCAAATTTACTAAAGTTATAATTTCTAACTACTTTATCTAATTGGATCGCTTCGCATGTACACTGCGGTGATTAACCATTTATAACTTTTATTTCCCACCCACTATGATTTTGTAGCACTTCTTGAAAGAACTATAGCAAATTACAAACTTAATAGGACATACAAGTATTGCCATTACGGGCACGTCGATGTGGTGTAATGGTTAGAAAGCTTGTCGTGCTAGATCACTTACGACTGAGTAGTGAGTTCGATTTTCCCTGATTGCCTCATACTTTCGGCTTTGTGCCACATTAAAGCCGGGCTAAGAAAATCATTATATTTGGGCACTTCGAGGCAGTGTAATGGTTAATAAGCTTGTCACGCTAGAACAATTGCGCCTGAGTAGTGAATTCGATCCTGACTGGGTGCATTCTACTTTCGGCATTGTGTCACATCTAAGCAGCACTTGGAAAATCCCTTTGCGTATTTCCATTATAAATCTTTTTTTCGCATCTGGATTGAATTGTTTTGTTTTTTTACGGCATATCTACCTTTTGCAGGTTATTTAAAGTCAGAAAATACTTTAGATTGTAAGAACTTTTTTGGGGGATAGTAATGATTTACTGATACAAGTCCGATTAATTAATCTATAGCTAGTGTGAAGAAGAGCTGCGTTCATATGTTTTCCCTAAGTGTATTTGCTCATAAGTGAATATAGCGAATCCGACAGGAATTTGAACTCGGCTCTCCGATTTCTAATTCCGAGACGTTGTCCATTACAACAGCCGCAATGTTTAGAGTTTACAGCACCTGATATTCGCAAGCGGTCACCCACCTACGTACTGACCAGGCAAGAATTTGCTTAACTTCATTGATTGTACAGGAACCGGTGTTTCAACGTGATATGGCCACTCACATCATGAGGACATAGCGTAAATCCTACAGGACATATGTAGTATTTTAGTGGGAGACAAGATGTTTTATAAAATGGTTTCGAGATCTGAACACGCATTGGACTAGAGAAATAACCATTCCAAAAGCTAAGGAAGAAATGGAAAAAAAATCGTTAGGGGAAAAATATACTGGATTAGGATTATCTATCCTTTTATGGGATGCTGGATCATCTCCCCACGGATGAGGAAAAAAACTAAAGGCCGTAAAAATATGTTTCTCCAGACGGATACGTAGAACTCCATGGACGAAGGGAGTAAGTCACGTGGAAGTCTTGAAGAAACTGGCAACACAAAGAACACTTATACGCAGAATCAGGGCACATTGTGAGGAAGGAGGGCTTAGAAAATTTGACCCTCACGGGGCAAACTGAGAGCAAGACAGATAAAGGAAAGCGTTGTATTACTTAGCTGACGATTGAATAGACGGCGGAACGTTTTCGGTGGGGGATTTTAGCAAAGGAAGAAAAACTGCTAAGAACACCACGAGATAGGAAGTTGTGGAGAGTCATGATCGCTTATGTACTGAAGAGACGCGGCACAGTAAAAAAATAAGATATTGAATAGAATATGCAGTGTGTTGGAGTGTCGAAGGAGACTAGAAAATAATGGGATACGACCAATCCTACCCTCGATTACTATGTTGCCCATGATTTCATATTCATGTCATGTACTTTTTCTTGTAAGTGAATAAATAATGTTTCTTTCTTGGTCGTCTTTTTTTTCTTTTTTTTTTTTTCTTCTCACAGGGCATTTCATTAGCTATCGAGGAATAATTACGCGCCACTCACAACCTGGAAATCTTTGAGAGCCATGTGCAGAGGCAAAACCAATTAGATAATGGCTTAAAAAGATCAACTTCATGACACTTTGAACTTTCACAGGGGACTGGTATTACGGATTATCATTAATTAAGAAACACGTATCTTTATGTGTGGCCGGATATCAGGCGACGTTCAAAAGGATTAGAGGAGTTGATTAAAATTCATGGGGCATGTGATATTTCATTTTAATTATCAATTAAGCAAATCTGGGAAACGAATATATATATATATATATATATATATATATATATATATATATATATATAGTGTGTGTGTGTGTGTGTGTGTGTGTGTTTTAAGGTACGCTTCATTTATGAGTAAAATTGCTCAATATCAGAGATAGAGTAAATATGTAAATACGTTGAAATATAACCGTTATCGTCTGCACAATAACCCTTCCTAGATACCCACAATGCATCTATGACCGCCATTTATAAATCCCATTTCCCGTCAGGACTTAGGCAATCATGGTTCTCCACAATTTACGGTCCCTTTTAGTTATTATTATTCGTTAATTCTCGTAAGACCTGTCCTGTCATCGAGTAGGTTATGCGTTATTTCTGTCCCTTTTGCCTGCAATGTCCTATGAGTATCAGATTTGTCAAGCCCCTCTTCCTCATTATGTCCCCCACCCCAAATTCAACTGTCTAATCCTGATGTTAAGTATAAGTTTTATTATATACCGTACCTATGAACACTAATTGGTATGTCCCAATCCTCATAAATACGTTGGACACTATTGTAAGTGGGGGTAATATGCTGCCTAAGTAGGCAGCATGGGAAGCTCTTGCCGTGTCGAATTCTTTGCTTTTGGGCAGAGAGGAACTCGGACAAGGCTATGCCGAAGGGCATAGCCTTTTTTTCTCGTCCGGAAAGATAGACAGATAAACCCGATTCCGCGTATCCGGGGTCTACGGGAAATATTTGCCCGTGCCAATGGTCTCGGATTTCCGCACATTAAATTTGGCCTTTTGCCGCATCCTACCTCGTGAGGAGGCAGGTAAATATCATAATATTCTAAGTGGTCCACCACTAGCAGACGTTTACCTACTTCACGCCGCTGGCGAGTATTGTATTTTGTTGATGTTATAAAGATTACCATTTCATTTCCAACCTCCTTTTTGGTTGTTCCCCATTCATTAACCTTTCTTAGGTTACACAATTTACTTTTGTCTCCGTTTTCTCTAAAACCTCGTCATTGCTGACATGTTCAGTCCGCTGTAGATTCAGCATCCTTCTGTAGAAATTGTACTAAGATAAACTAGGAAACTAGTTAAACATTTATTCTTTAATGGGCAATTATTGGGATTCCTACAATTTCACAAGTTATTATTAGTGCCATTATACTTAGTTTTTCTCACTGCGACCTGGCGATAAGTCAAGTTTTTTGAGTCCTTATACTTGTTGAAAACTCTGTTATTATGTTTTTTAATTAATTTTCCAGATTATGAACACAACTATAGCTTAATTTAAGAGTATTATAATTGAATATTTTACTGAGTGGATTAGTACAGGGGTCGGGGAAATGTTTTTCACCTCTTGAGAGGTGTTTGGTTTGTTTTCACCTTTTAAAACTTTATTCTTCATTCAACATCATCACTTGATAAGACACCAGAAGTGTTGAAACAAAATGGCTATTTTTGTAGTGATTTTATAACAGGTTTATGTTATAATTTTTGAATAAATAATATTTGCTCTACTATGTATTGAGCACTCTTTTATAATAGCATTTTTAGTTATTGGAATTTATATCGTTTAAATCAATCCTATACTTATATATATATATATATATATATATATATATATATATATATATATATATACATGCATGCATGTTTCATTAAAACGACAGACAAGGTACTACGGTTGAGCTTTTTATTTAATTTTTCTTGTGTTCTGACAAGAGCTTTCTTTTCTGGACGAAGGGTGTGTAAGAACTGTCCGAATGTTTTGTATTTCCGAGCACTTTCGGCCTTACCTTTAGCCATTATCAAGGATGATCAGCTTAGTAGAGTGTGTGCATTCTGTGTATGTTCAGTGTGTGGTAGTGATGTTTTTAATTTCCGAATACGGTTAGCACATTGTGGCTTTGTTCATAGTTAATATTGTTAAGAGTTTTTTTTCTTTTTTATTATTAGAGCTTCCATTATTTTTAGTCTTTTTTTTGCAAGTGGATGCAGTTAATATATTTGTGTTTTCTACTAGTATGTTCCTAATAGTGTCGGGGTAAATCTGAGTGTGTGTGTTTAAATGTGTTCTGATGGAGCTGTGATCAGATAGGTGTAACGTAAGATATCTGGATAAACATGATAAATATACAACTATATATATATATATATATATATATATATATATATATATATATATATATATATATATATATATATATATATATATATATATATATATATATATAATTAAAAAAAATTTGAATCAACATTCTTTCTCATTACTACAAACGTCATTTTTATTCAGTTCACAAGTTTCAATTGAAGTCTCTGTTAATTTTTAAACTGTGAAATTAGTGTCCATTGGCCTAAAAATGGAGAAGTCCTTACTAAAGAAAGGTATGGCTCCCGCCTATAATTCAACCTGTATTTATTCTTTTTTCCATCAGATGAATCAGTCTTTTAGCTAAAGTGTACCCTACCAATTAGGTCACGTGAAACCCTGATGACAAAACGAAGCTCAATTATTTGTGTGAAAATGCACGTCTCTCGTTGGGATATTTCGTAATATATATCTGGTTGTTTTCGTATCATACACGAGTCGTAAAGAATTTACTTATTTTAAATTCATTTTTTAATCCGAACTTATTTCATAATATTATAAACAAAAAACATTTTTCTACATAGAATGTTTTTTAAAGAGACAAAATCTATTGTTTTCTTTATTGTAAAAGCGAATGTCCTTGCAGTTACTGTAAAAAGACGAAAAACCGGGTTAAAAATAACTGCTTCTTGGCGCACATTATTTTATAATGAACTGAATAACATTAAACACACACTTATCAACCTTAGCTTTTCCGATCAAATTGTCAACAAGTAAATGAATGTCGCTTTAAAGAATTTAAGAAAAATAACACTCTTAACAAAAATAAAATCATCAGTCACTTATTATATCGTAATCCTGATTCATTAGCCCGATGAAAAAGCCATTAAAAAGATAATTTGGCGTTATACATCACTTCATGATTGCAATAAATACTTTAGATTAATTATTTACTATAAGAAGTTTAAAAATGTAACCCCATGATTTCCAATAATTCGAAAACTCAAAAAGTTATTTATTAATTCTCGTGTCCGTTGGGAGACTTTATCTTCAATATCAATAATTAAAAAGCAACATTAAATTCTTACATTGATCACTCAATCACCATTCTCTCCTGTAGTTTAATTTGTCCCTTAACGAAATAATTTGTGCACATATCAATAACGACACCGCAAACAATAGGAATAGAGAGATTCGACTATCATCTGGTCCACATGCCTCCCCGATCTCTTCAAAAGAATTAGTTTTATCAATTGTTTCCTGTTTGGGTTTGGATTATTGTTTTTTTTATAAAGTCTTCTCGCTCTTTTTAATTCCTTGCGTTTTAGTAGCATTATTGTCTTGCTTGGGGTGAATTGATAAATAATACCCTGAAGACAAATCAAAAAATGGACCAGAATGTAAATATTGATAGATAAAGCCAACACGCTACAGTGCATTCGTTGTAAAGAAAGAAGCAAAATGCTTGAAGATATTATCATACAAAAGAAACAACCAGCCTCAAGGTAAAAAAAAAAAAGAGAAAAAAAAGTGTTTTCTCCACAGGACACGATATTTTAAAATGTGTGTAAAATATTCAAAAAGGGGCGTTAACTATTTATAATGCGCCTAAAAAGTTTAATACCATTTTCTGACTCTCTAAGGCTTCGTGAAACCATTCTAGGCAAGACATCGCTTTTAAATTTGAAATATAGCGTTATTCAAAATGCCAGGAAAAAATAACTTTTGTCTATGACTGAAGGCTTTGACAGAAACGGGAAAAACAGAACAAAAATAAAACACGTGAATTCTGCAGTGTTCGCCTACCATTTTGATCGGGATATGGAATAACATATTTGAAAATGTGAAAAATAAATGTATATTTACA